ACATGAATTGAATAAAGTCCCAGTTGGTCTTATCGGGCTTCAGTTCACCTCATCAAACATTGAAAGATTTAAAGAGAGAGAATATGACGAAGTTGGTGGTGTTGAGTTTCTCCATGTTTTCCTTGCTGAATGGAATTTTTAGTAGAATTAAAATTTGGTCAATATTTTGGTGCGCCTGGAAATTAGTGAGTGGTGCTCACTGAACCAACAAGGAAGGAGGCGGCTAAGACTTGAGAGTCTTTAAGACCTGGTCCTCGAATGACATGAATGCCTAACAGGCCTGCCTCTTCTATTAAGTGCCACCCTCTAGCTAGCTGCTCCTGCTGTGCATGCACCACATTAAGTGAACTCTGATCGTTGCATAAGTTACGTCTCCTCAGTTCTGTGTGCCATTGTACGTGAGTGATTTCTAACCGTTAATGCATGTAAAATTTACAATGCATAAACAATTAAAAATCTCTCATACATATATGTGCAACAAAAAGTTTTTCGATGCTAACATCGGTATTATTCATTAATATTAAATCATAATTTCATTATATTATAACTTGTGAATTAGCATCATTGCCCTTGTTTTTGTTGTTTTCATAAAATGTTTTTTTAAACAGACCGGGAAGGAGAAGGAAAAGCAAAAGAAGAATTTCTGTTTAGTTTCTGCCGATGTTCGAGGTGCTGTTAGACCTCGTTTAGTTTCTATTTAGTTTCTTTTTGGTTTGGGGCTTTAGCCCTCCCCTGTACCCAAAAAACAAGAAGAATAATTTCTCTATTTACCCTATTGTAATTAACTTGACAAAAAAATATTTATTGTAATTAAGATCAGAAAAATGTTTCTGAAGATGATTGATTGGAAACCCAAATATTTCATTATTGGCCTTTATTACTGAGCATCACAATCCGTTGTAGATGTCGTGGAGCATCACAATCCGTTGACTGACTTGTGGTACGGTGAAATTATTATGATCAACAAAATTACAGCTACCAGATGACAGAACCAAATGCAAATGAAGAGAGCCCAGGCCCGAACCAGAGTCCGAGGCTGAGCCCGTTTATTGGGTTTAGGTGGACGCAGGGAGTGTTATCTTTCTTGGGGAAAATGGGTCACGGTAAGGTGACCCGGAAACTATGGGCTTGACTTGGAAGATGGCAAGATGGGAATTCTATTTTAGGGCTTGGGTTTCAACATCCAAGGAGAAATAACTCAAATGGGTTTCAACATCCAATTTCATAAATCAAAGTCCAGTTTTTATTTATTTTTTTAAACTCTTCTTAATTACGATAGTCTAAACTACAAGGGGAATGACGTTTCACACACACACTATCAATGTACTAT